TGATGGCAACAAATGTACAAATGTGTTTGACACAATGGATATATGTATGGATTGTGATAAGAGTCGTATGAGCCCCCAATAAAATGATTTAAATAAATAAATAAAAACCAATAGAAACAAGTATATCAAAGAAAAAACAGTGGTTTTCTTAACACAAAAGAATTATAAATCTACTGCCAACAGGTCAATTCTGACTCATAGTGCGCCCTTTTATGGGGTTCCAAGGCTATAAGTCTTCAAGGGAGTAGATACTTATCTATCTCTCTCAGAACAACTGGTGAGTTTGAACCAACGATCTTGTGGTTGACAGTCCAATGTTTATCTGACGGTACCACCAGATCTCCTTTAAAGAATGATACATAATTTAACTTACATTTTGGGCTTCTCTGTATTTTCCTGTTCCCTGCACTCAGCATATACATATCAATTTTGTCATCAGATAAAATTTATTAAAATCAAAGAGAACAAAAATAGCATAATAACTTCCTAAGAACCACCTTGAAAGAGGAGACTCCACATGGGCTGGGGTCACTCCTTCAAGAAGGGGGAAAGGGAGAAGACCAGCCACTTGATGCCATACAACAGCGAGACAAGGCTGCCACAAATCAACAGACACTGTACAGGAGTGAGAAGGAACCTTACTGGAAAGTCAAGTCAAGATCAGGGGAGGGGAGCATCTAGATTTCAGAGGAGGCATTTATACTTTTGTGGGGGGGCTAAATGGAGAGGGGAAACCTCACACAGGAAGGGATGCTCGACAGTAATTGTAGAGAATCCAAAGGGAGAATAAACTTGGTACTATGTTCCTGGTTAGACACTTTTGAATTCGTTTCTACCTAACCCTCAGTGAACTACGCCATGGGCTTGGCACTACAATGACTTTAGACTCCGACCTTACAGGGAAGATGGCATCCCCTATAGGCCACACCAGAAGGACTCAATGTGGAAACCTCCCTAAACTAGCTATTCCATACCTCAAAATTACCTGAGTCCTTGCACTTTAGACTGAAGTTCTCTTAGGAGAGAAGAAACAAATGATGGCCACCTCACAACTGTGGAATTGGTGGCCATTGGACCTTGCTTAAGATCCCTGGCTTAGCAGATGTCCATTGAAAGGGGACCCATAGCTACCATATATTTACTATCTTAATGCCCTCCTTGCATTAATATGACATGTTATCCTTGTAAGGAATGTTATGGGAAATTTCCACTAACATTAGCCCCTATGGTCAATGTAAACAGAGCTCAATTATTGAATAATTCAATCTGTACAAAGGATCAAGTCATGGATTGTGGTCTGCAGGTAGACTATACTCACATAATCTCCACTCCTCAATAGCATCTTAAAGTCTATGCTACTGGGTAAATTATTGATGCTATCAAGGGAAATTCCTTATATCCCAAGGGGGTGATTGATAATATTTTTGTCATAAAATGATAATAAGACTGCTAAAGTAAAGCAGAATCATACATAACCCATGGTCAAGCAGATGGATTCTGGTCTCCCACTTAATTCTAGCCTCAATCAAAAGACTGTCACTTCTTATGGCACGGTCCTGCTCCCTACTTGCTTTCATGAAGGGATCACTGAAGATGTGAGTGCTACAGCAAAGTGTGGTGAAGAAAGCAGATGGCAGGTGGTGCCTGGCAATCAATCGGAATAGTGCCTTGGGTCTTCAAAGCTAGTAATCAAACAAGCAGCCATCTAAGTGAAACATCATCTCAGTCTGTATGGAAGAAGCACACCAGCCTGTGTGATCCAAAGATGACAAATAACAAAATCCAAATCTGACGAAGGGAAAAGTTTCAGAGCTTAAATTGTGAACACCCAGTTTGTAGAAGGCTATGGAAGAGTGTGGAATCCCAAAATCCATCTGCAGAGTATCTATTCGGATTAAGTCTCTGGCCGATCCCCGCTGGCCAGATCTAACAGAGTACTTGAACAGCCTTACTATAGAGATGATTGTAAAATGGATTATGGTGAATGGAACTATGGTATAATATGATATTTGGTCAGTTAACCTCCTTTTGACCCATCCTTAATTTGGTCTAGGTTTAAATATTTGTTCCTCGACAGAAATTTTCACTCTGGTTCATTTTAAACACCCCCATAGGAAAACGCACCGACCCAGGTAAGAAGACAAAAGGAATCAGAGTTTCAAAAAATTAAGTGAAACAAGGCCCCTCCTGCAGCCTCCTCAGGCTCCGAGCCCCACCCCCACCCCCACACACACCCTGCCCCCCGCTGACTTTTAGCTGCCTTTGGGAGAGGGTGCGAGATTCGCCAGCCTCTGAGTGTGAGCCCAGTGGTCCCAGCCCAGGGCGCAAAAGCGCAAGTCAGAGGCTTGCTTCCTCAGAGTCAACACCAAAGCCGTCAATGAGGACAAGAAGATGGAACTGTAAGCATTGAGCTCTGTTAATGAAGGAGATGGAAGTTTCCAGGAATTAAGTCTAATTTCACTCAATATAGGATAGGAGAAAATGGTGATACCAAAGCCTCCTTAATAGAAGTTTCCTAGATAGAAACAGATCTCCTAAAATCTCCAATTACATTAAGGAGTGTTTTTTTTTTTTAACACCACTATACTATCAACTGTAAAGCAATTACAAGAAGCAGTTGAAGTTAATCTTGGAACATTTATGACCTATACATTATTTGATTATTTCAAGGCCAATAAGGAAGATTTCATGGAGAATCACAATCCTATTCATTCCACGACATCCATAGGCAATATCATATCAGTTGAAACTCCTAATCTGGCCCCATCAAGTAAGAAAAAAGGTGAAAATGTTCTTGTTTAATATACTTTACCAAGCCTATCAATGGGCCAATATGGGGAATAGTAAATAATCAGTGCTAATTTATACGATC